TCATTGGTATCTCTTCTCTTTGTTGATTTTCTGACACTGAAACCAACAGATCTTGAATGAGCTTTGTATAACACATATCCCTCATTGTAGTTTGATGATGTATAACTTGCTAGACATCTTCTTATGTTTTCATCCTTGTCATATTTGTAATAATCTGCAACAAAAGTATACATATGAAACATATCATAATTTATTTTTGTCAGGAATTACAATATTATACACAGTAAATAAATTTTTTTAAAATTTATAATACTTAAGAATTACCATGTCTTAGTCAGGAATTAGATTATTTAAATCAGGAATTACTAAATACTAGTCAGGAAATAAATCATCTCAGTCTGGTTTAGGATTATATTAATCGGGAAATAGGTAATATTGGTTAGTAATAAAATTATATCATTCAGAAATAATAATATTTGTATCTTATTATAATATGTTGTTCATTGTTCATTATTTTCAGGAATTAGATTATTTTTGTCATTTATTAGATTTGTTTTGTCAGGAATTAAATTCTGTATGTCAGGTATTAAAATATTTTGATTAGGAATTAATTTGAATATATCAAGAATTAGATTGTATATTTCAGGAATAAAATTGTTTCAATCAGAAATTAAATTGAAACAATTTTATTAATCTAATTTCAGTCACAAAAAATAGTCAAAATATTACTCAAAAAATAGTCAAAAAATGGTTTGAATTAGAAATTAGATTATAATAGTCAGGAATAAAATTATCTCAGTCAGGAAAATAGATAACAAATTACTTAGGACATAAATGATATAGTCAGGTTTAAGATAAAAATAGTCAGTTAGATTATTGCATACAAGAATTAGAATTTGAAAAGTCATGACTTTCCCTCTTCCAAAACATAAACACTCAAAAAACACGTAAAATCATTTACCAGACATAAAATTAATTGAATAAAATGAAATGAATTTACTAGAACAGAGGTTAATTATAAATGAAAAACACATATTTGGAAAGGCATGACCATCCCTCTTCCAAAACACTGCACCAATTCACGTTCTAAACATTATATATAAGAAACCACAGTGTACAAGAAACTATATTCAGAAAAAAAAAAATTATTGCATACAAGAATTAGAATTTGAAAAGTCATGACCTTCCCTCTTCCAAAACATAAACACTCAAAAAACACGTAAAATCATTTACCAGACATAAAATTAATTGAATAAAATGAATTGAATTTACTAGAATAGAGGTTAATTATAAATGAAAAAGACATATTTGAAAAGGCATGACCTTCCTTCTTCCAAAACACTGCACCAATTCACGTTCTAAACATTATATATAAGAAACTATATTCAGAAAAAAAAAAAAAGACATATAAAACTATAAATTGCTTCAGTTTGAATTTTAATTAATTTTATAAGAATATAACTACTGCTACTACAAAAAGTATATTTTTTTTTCCTATTATGATCATACATTTGTTAGTTTATTTTATTTTGTTTTATTATGATTTATGTGTTTATTTTGTTTTGTTTAGATGGCTAATCAAATTGCACACCCAATTGATGCCTTAGAAGATGCACATCCAGCACTAGCAATTGAAGAGATATTATGCATGCATATTTTCCCTAGGTGCACCTTCAAATCCCAGACGATGATTAATTGTACATGTAAATATTATAATGAATTATGGTATTATAAATTTTGGATTCCAGAAATAGTATGAAGAAATCATAATTCAAATGAATGGTGGGTTGCATATGACATTATGAGGCATAATGGTTATGGTTTTCACAATGGCATGGTGTCAGACTGGGCTGAATTTCTTGATGGATTACGTTTAATTTTTGCGGAAGAAGAAGCTAAGAAGAGAAAGAGAAAAAGAGAATAGGCAAGCCAACTAGGTAAAGAGGCAAAAAGAATTAAAATAGAGGATGTTATTAGTAGCTTATCTTCAATGTTTTGCAATTTATTATAATTAAAAACATAACATTTCAGTAATATGTATTTTTTTGTAAATTTAGTTGATGTTATTTTTTTTTTTTGAGGGGAATTTTATTTTTTGTTTTGTAAGACGTTATAAAGTAATTAAATGTTTTTTGAAATTTATAATACTCAGGAATTAGTATATCTTAGTCAGGAATTAGATTTTTTAGATCAGGTATTACAATATACTAGTCAGGAATAAAATTAACTCAGTCAGGTTTAAGATAATATTAGTCACGAAACAAATAATAATAGTCAGGAATTGTATTATCAATATTATATACAGTAATTAAATGTTTTTAAAATTTATAATACTCAGGAATTAGCATATCTTAGTCAGGAATTAGATAATGCTGGTCAGAAAACAGATAATGATAGTCAATTTTAAGATAATAATAGTAAGATATATTATAGCATACAGAAATAAGATTTTTTTATCAAGTCAGAAATATTTTTCTGATCAGAAATTACAATATATTAGTTAGGAAATATATTATCTTACTCAGGAAATAGATAATGATGATTAGAAATTATAGGAATGGAAAGAAAATAAATAATATTAGTCAGGAAATAGATAATGATAGTCAGGTTTAAAATAATGATAGTCAGTTTTAAAATAATAATAGTCAAGTTTAAAATAATATTCAGACAGGAATACTAGAATTTTTAATCCAGTCAGAAATATTTTGAAATTGTCAGGAATTACATTATTTTCACTAATTTCCATATAATTTTTTTTAGGAAATAGGTTTCCATAGGAATAAAATTAATTCAGTCAGGTTTAAGATAATATTAGTCAGGAATTATATTGTCTGCAACTACATCAATAAATTACAGAGCATTTAATAATTTTACAGAACATTTAATTATCAGTATACCTATTATACTTGCAGCATCTTCATCTCTTTCTTCATCATCTCTTTCTTCATTGATATTGTCTCCTAAAATTACATTATCTGCTGCATTCATCATTAGTGTTAGTATATTTGAATTTCACTCTAAAATTATCAAAAAAAATGGATTCAAATTAAAATTAATTTTCTACTACATGTAATATATACAATTCGTGAAATATAAATTAAGCCTGATTTCAAATTCGATTGGAATATAAATTAAGCCAGATTTCAAATTATAAGTCGAAATTAACTACGATCTGAAATTCGATTGGCGTTGATTGCAAATAATAAGTTGAAATTAACTTGAATTTAAATACGATTTGATATTAAATCGAAATTTAATACGATCTGAAATTCAATTTGGCTTGCATGCGAATTATAAGTCGAAATTCATATTTCAAATTCACTATGATACAATCTGAAATCATGAACTAAATTATATGTAATTTGAAATTAATTATATATGATTCGAAATTACATACAATCAAAAGTATGAACTAAATTGTACCTTTTCCAGCAATAATTGAGCTAGAAATTAATTCTATAGGTGAATCAGAATCTCCTTCAATCATCATTCTATTGTTTGATTTCTCCATTTTTTTATGGAATTTGAAGATTAGAATTCTCTGAAACTTGAGGAAATGAAGTGGTTGAAATTTGATGAAATGAAAGCGTTCGAAATTTTCAGTGAATGACGGCGCACGATATTTTATGAAAATGATGAAAACGAAATATTCAGACACTGTATAAAATGGCGCGCGGGCTTTGGTCGGGTTGATCAGGCCCGCACCTTTTTAATTAAGGAGCCCGGACTCACGTGAGTCCAGTCTCACGCTAAACGCTTTGATTAAGGAATGAGAAGATTCTCAAAGTCATATTATTGACCTTATATGTTTTGATGATGACTCAAGGAACCTAAGCAAACCTATAACAAGTTTAACTTTCGGTTTTAGCTTTGATTTATGACAGGTTTGTGCTAGGAAATTCTTGAGTGAGAAGGGAGCATGGAAGAAGATCAGAGCTAGCTATGGAAGAATAAAGAAATCAATCAAGTCGTGTTCCTTGGAGGGAACTGAAGCTCAAGAGTTGAAGCTTCAAAGGAAAGTTCCTTGAGTGAGGAACTGCAGCTTCAGAGTCGAAGCTTCTCAGAGTATCAAGGAGTCTAATGTATTTTATCTTTACTTTAGGCAACTTGTATTTGTGTTAAGTACAATTGATAGGATTTAAGTGGATTCAATTTTATTTGATAAAGATTTTATTTTCCATATTTTAACTTGTTTCAATTTTATTTTGAAAAATATCTTTTGAGTTAAAATATCTTGTTAGTTAAAAAGATTTTCTATTTTAATTCTATCCTATTATTTTGGAAAATCTGATTTGGAAAATATTCTTTATAAACGACTATTTTACTTGGTCAAGGAAGTTGAGAGAAAATAGGAAGCAGTAAACCACCTCCTTGTAAAGTGCTCAGCTTGCTGCCCAAGCACCCACGCACGAATTACACTTCCTTGTTTTAAGGGAGTTGTGGTTAAGTGGTTATGAAGGCAACTACGATTTAACTGCCAAACTCTTTTATAAATAGCCTTGGTTTTTCAGTTGGAAAAACACACTTGAGCATTACAGTCTTTTAGCTTTTAAAAAGAGTCATAATCCACTTAAGTCCTTGAGTGTCTTTGTACTTAGAAATTTAGAGTTTAATCTTTGAGTTGTATTGGGTTAGAGTTTGGGGAAACTCTAAGAGTGTTTGATTGCTTTGAGTGAAGCAAGGAGAAAGAGAGAGTGTTTGAGAGTTCGACTGGTTGAGGGATCAGTTGAAGGGAGCTTAAGTTCATAGAGGAACTTGAGTTTAGAGTCTTAATTTGTAATAGGTTGTTTGCCCTATTATTATTAAGAATTGAGTTTAAAATCTCTTGTGGACGTGGTTTTTCTTCTTGGTTAGGGCCAAGAAGTTTTCCACGTAAAATCTCTCTTTGCACTTTTAGTTTTTATTCGAGTTCCTTTATAAATTCCGCGAAAATTACCCTAGTTCCTCTACAATACAATTCACCCCCCTCTTGTATTGTTCATTCGAGTCAACAATTGGTATCAGAGCCTGTTCCTCGAAGAAATCAGGAAACCCTGACGAGTTAAGTTCCTGGAAGCAACATGAACAATCACGAGAAACTGGAAGAAGGTTACTCTACGCAGCGTCCTCCTATGTTCAATGGGAAGTTCTACACCTATTGGAAGAACAGGATAGAAATTTTTATCAAAGCTGACAACTACCAAGTTTGGAGAGTTATTGAAGTTGGTGATTTCGAAATCACCAAAACAGTTGGTGAAAATGAGGTAGTACCTAAACCCATGTCTGAGTTACATAAGGAAGATTTTGAAAAAATGAAAATTAATGCACTTGCTGTTAAATTATTTCATTGTGGTCTTGGTCCCCATGAACACAATCGTGTTATGGGATGTAAAAATGCTAAAGAAATTTGGGATTTACTACAAGTAACACATGAAGGAACTAATGAAGTGAAATGCTCTAAAATTGATATGTTTATGTCTAAATATGAACGTTTTGAAATGCAATCTAAAGAAACTATCCAGGAAATGTTAACAAGGTTCACTAACATTATTAATGAGCTTGTTTCTCTTGGAAATCAAATACCTATTGATGAGCAGGTCAGGAAAGTTCTAAGGAGCCTCCCTCAAGATCAAAGATGGAGAGCCAAGGTGACTGCCCTACAAGAAACTAAGGACTTCACGAAATTCAACATTGAGAAACTTGTCGGTTCCCTCATGACTCATGAGTTTCACTTAGGAACAAGCAATAGTGAAGGGAACAAAGGAAAAGGCTTAGCTCTCAAAGCTGGTGATCAAGAAGAATCTAAGGTAGATGAAAAAGAAGCGGCTATGTTGGTGAGAAGGTTCAAAAGAATGTTCAATCGAAATAATAGAACAAGGAACTTCACCAAAAAGTCCTCTAACTCAAAGGCCGATTCTTGATGTCACAAATGTAGATCCCTAGATCACTTTATTCGTGAATGTCCCTTGTGGGAGACTGAGAAAGGTAAAGGGAAGGCCAAGGAACAGAACAAGAGCAACAAAACTCCTTACAACAAAACAGACATTAGGAAGGCTATGATTGCTGCTTGGGGAGATTTTGAGAGTGATGATGAGGAGGAACAACCTGAAGAAGAAACAACCAATTTATGTCTAATGGCCAAACGTGATGAAAAGGCCTACAATGATGAACTGGCTAAAGAGGTACGTGCTGATCCTAATTATCTTAGAACACTTCCTAAAGAAGTACTTATTGATTACATTTTAGAAATGGAAGATGATTGGATAATAGATATTAAAAATCTTAATGAATGTGAAAAAGCTCTTAAAGTCTGCAAGGAACACGCTACCTGGATTGAGAACCAGCGTACTGATGTTCAAGGCAGATTCTTTGATCTTTTTTATAAGAATCTTCTTCTAAAAGAAATGAATGAAAAACTCAAGTATGAAAATATTATGGTTAATGTAGAACTGACTCAATACAAGCTTGCCAGTACTGACTTCAAATCGTCAAGTTCCTCTTCTAAATCATTGCCTAAGTTTAATGAAGATTTTGAAAAATTAAAACACAATCTTGATGAGTTAAGAATTGAAAAGGCTAATTTAGAAAAGGAACTTGCAATCAGAAAAGAAAGAAGCACTAGTCTGCTTGGTGTACCTAAATGGATTGAGAATGCTCAAACCAAAAGAACTGAAGGACTAGGATACATTCGATCTAAGCATAAAGGTAAAAAGAAATATGTTGATTTACCTAGCTATAAAGTTTGTTCCTTTTGTGGGAAAACAGGTCACTTAGTGAATACTTGTTATAAGAAGGAACAATCCGTTAGTAATAATGTTAAGCAAGTTTGGGTTAAAAAATCTGATATTGCTTCAACGTCCAAGGAACCCAAGGAAACCTGGGTTCCTGAACTAATCAATGAGTTCTTTTGCAGGTCCTAGTGAGGGGGAACAACACTTGGTACCTCGACAGCGGTTGTTCAAAGCATATGACAGGAGACAAATCAAAATCCCTCTCACTTGAGACCTATTCTGGAGGAACTGTGACCTTTGGAGACAACAAGAAAGGAGAAGTTATTGGAAAAGGAAAAGTTGGAAGGTCAAGTTCCCATTCAATTGAAAATGTACTTTTGGTCGAGGGTTTGATGCACAATTTGCTGAGCATATCACAATTTTGTGACAAAGGAAACTCTGTAAGTTTTACTTCTAATTCATGCAACATCATTAATGACAAAACAGGAAGGGTTGTTCTTGAAGGAACTAGGAAAGGGAACACTTATATTGTGCATCTCAATTCTGTCCCAAGGAACAACCTTACATGCCTGAGTGCCATTAATGATGATCCTTTATTATGGCATAAACGTTTTGGATATGCTAGTTTCTCACTCATAGATAAACTTAGAGCAAGGAACTTGGCCATAGGGCTTCCTCAGTCAAGTTCCTCGTACAACATATCTGTGATGCATGTATGAGAGGCAAGAAAGTCAGGTCATCTTTTAAAAGTAAAAACATGGTAAGCACCACCAAGCCTTTGGAACTCATACACATGGATTTGTGTGGCCCCATGCGTGTTCAAAGTAGAAGTGGAAAGAAATATGTTCTAGTTATTATTGATGATTTTTCTAGATTTACCTGGGTGATTTTTCTGTCTATAAAGGATGAAACCTTTGATGAATTTGTGTCATTTGCCAAGAAAGTGCAGAAGACTAGTGGAAATCAAATTATCCACATTCGGTCAGATCATGGAACTGAAGAAAATTCAAGATCTGATGAGTTCTGCAAAGAAAATGGCATGGATCATAACTTCTCAGCCCCAAGAACTCCTCAACAAAATGGAGTTGTGGAAAGGAAGAACGGGACCCTAGAAGACATGGCAAGAACAATGCTCATAGCTATTGGACTTCCAAGGAACTTCTGGGCTGAAGCTATCAACACTGCTTGCTATATTATAAATCGGGTTATGATGAGACCAATCATCAATAAAACTCCATATGAACTGTTTAAGGGCAGAAAACCCAATATTTCTCACTTTAGAGCTTTTGTATGCAGGTGCTTTGTCCATAATAATGGAAAAAGGAACATAGGAAAATTTGATGAAAGAAGTGATGAAGCTGCGTTTCTTGGCTATGCATCAAATAGCAAGGCTTACAAAGTTTACAATAAAAATACTATGTGTGTCGAAGAAAGCATTCATGTGATATTTGATGAATCTAATATGTTTATGAATGTGCATGAACAAGACTCTAATGATTATGAAATTGGTATGGTTAGAGACAGGGAGGATGATGAAGAGGAAACCAGTCATCCCAAGGAAAAACAAGTTGAACCTGAACAAGGTCATCAGGAAAATGCTGAAGTTCCTCCACCTGAAGTTCAGGAGAAACAAGATCATGAAGAAACATGCAACATAGAGGAACCTGAGGAAGTAGAAGAAGAAGTGCCTCAAATAGGAGTTCCTTCCAGAGAGTTTCATCCAAAGCCCTTCAAATATCAAGGCTCTCAACCTAATGACCTCATCATAAGTGACATTGTCAGAGGAACTCCAACCAGATCACAGATGAGGAACTTATGTGCCTTCCAAGCCTTTCTATCCATAATTGAGCCAAGAAATCATGAAGAAGCTCTCAAAGATGCTGACTGGATAATTGCCATGCAAGATGAACTCAATGAATTTGAAAGAAACAAGGTCTGACATCTAGAAGATAAACCCAAAAATAAAAAAGTTATAAGGCTCAAATGGGTTTTCAGAAACAAGCTGGATGAGTATGGAACTATAGTGAGGAACAAGGCTAGACTTGTTGTGAAAGGGTATAACAAACAAGAAGGTATTGACTTTGAAGAAACTTTTGCTCCTGTTGCAAGGTTAGAAGCTATAAGAATATTAATTGCTTTTGTTTCATTTATGGGTTTTAAATTATACCAAATGGATGTTAAGTGTGCTTTCTTGAATGGTTTTCTTGAAGAAAATGTTTTTGTGGAACAGCCTCCTGGTTTTGAAAATCCCCAATTTCCTAATCATGTCTTTAAGCTTGATAAAGCTCTTTATGGGCTGAAGCAGGCACCAAGAGCCTGGTATGAAAGGCTCTCCAAGTTCCTTCTTCAAAATAATTTTAAAAGAGGAAAAATTGATAAAACTTTGTTTTTGAAATCTGAAGGAATTGACTTATTAGTTGTTCAAATATATGTTGATGATATTATCTTTGGTGCAACTAATGAAACCTTGTGCAAGTATTTTGCTGATTTAATGAGTGGAGAATTTGAAATGAGTATGATGGGAGAACTCAACTTCTTCCTTGGTCTTCAAATCAAACAAATTGAAGAAGGAATTGCAATTCACCAACAAAAATATGTCAAGGAACTTCTGAAAAAGTATAACCTTGATCAAGCAAAAACTAATCATACACCAATGGGAACTGGCACAAGATTGGATGAAGATCTACAAGGAGCTAGTGTAGATCAAACCAAATATAGAGGTATGATCGGATCCCTTCTTTATTTAACTGCTAGTAGACCTGACATTGCGTTTAGTGTTGGTTTATGTGCTAGATTTCAATCAAATCCTAAAGAATCTCATCTTACGACAGTTAAAAGGATTCTAAGATACCTCAAAGGAACTGACAATCTCTGTCTCTTCTATCCTAGAATTGATACTTTTGATTTAAAAGGTTTTGCAGATGCTGATTATGCAAGAGATTTGGTGAACAGGAAAAACACTTCTGGAATGGTCCAGCTCCTCGGACCATGTCTAGTTTCTTGGGGCTCCAAGAAACAAAATACAGTGGCCCTATTAACTGCTGAAGCTGAGTATGTGGATGTTGCAGCTTGTTGTTCACAAGTTCTTTGGATTAAACAACAATTAAGAGATTATGGTATGAAATATAACTGTATTCCCATTTATTGTGACAATACAAGTGCCATATGAATTTCAAAAGATCCAGTTCATCATTCTTGAGTGAAGCATATTCACATAAGGCATCATTTTCTCAAGGATAATGTTGGAAAAGGCTTAATTAAATTGGATTTTTGTGATACTGAAAATCAAAATTGATGACATTCTTAAAAAGCCTTTGAGCAGGGATAAATTTGAAAAGATGCGCATGGAACTTGGTATGATACAATTGAGTTAAGAAGACCTCAAGTTCCCGCAAAGGTATAAGTCAACTATGTATGCAATGTATGTCTTACACAATCTGAATATGTATAAACATAGTCCTAAGCATTAGAATGTATGGCATTGCATATGGGATTGTGGATGTATGTGATGAAATCAAATTGCATTAGGCATGTCCATGTTATAACAAACTATGTTGATTTGTTCCAAGTTCCTCCCAAATATTCTATCAGATTTTTTTTATCCGTTTATGAATTAATTAGCTAGTCAGTTAATTAATTTTATCCTTTTGAAAATCTTATCCTTCTATTCCGATTTTGAATTATTTTCGAGTATTTATCCTTAGAATTCAAATCAAAATTTTATTTAAATACCCAAGATTCTTCGAATTCAATTCAGAGTTTCTGATCAAAGATTATCTTCAATTAACCTAGACCCTTCATGTCAAATCACATTAAATTTCAAACTGACCAAGTTAAAAGTAATTTCTCTATCATTCATCAATCGACACCTGCACTATTCAATTAAACTTCCACACTCTTCCACCGACACTTTTACCCCTTGAAATATCATCCCTATAAAATGACACCAAACCCTACACACTGTTCCTCACCTCCTCACTCCGTAAAGTACACCCTACATTTTACCGATTCAGCGAATTCACCCATGGATGTTTCACCAAAACCTCAAGTTACCCCTCAAAAAGATTCACCCATGGATAACGAGCAAGAGAATCAAACAAAACCCTCTATTGAAAAACCAAAGAACTTGCCTGCTGAGTCAAGAAACGAAAACTGGAGGAACTTGAGGATCAGGGCTGGGAGGAATTAGGAGAAAAGATTCAGTTGGAAAAGTCTCCATCTCTCAAGAAAACCGAAGCAGGCTCTGAACGCTTCATTCATGGTTTCTGCATCAACTTACCGTGGTGTGAAGTAAGTAAGTATTCCGAATTACTTGAAATCTTAGAGGCTCAAAATTGGGTGCAATTGTTTAGTGAAAGTTACAATAATGTGCTTGCTCATGCTCCTTTGAAAGAATTCTGTGCAAATTTTAAGAATTATGATGGTGTTTGTGTGTCAAGAGTTAAAAATAAGAAAATTAGTTTTGATGCTGATTATCTATGTGCTATCTTTGGAACTCCAAGTGAGGGGTTTGATGAGTATTTTAAAGGAGCTACTGATAAAAGTGTAGGAAATGTGCCTATAAAAGAAATTGTGGAATCAATTGGTGGAAAGGTGTCTAAAGTCCAAACTAATCATAACCTGCTTTCTCCCATTCAGAAATTGTTGTTTATCTTTGTGCACTTAGCCATAGTTCCAAGAACTTAGCACAGGAATGAGGCTAACCACCTTGATGCTATGCTGATGTACTACCTTGAAAACAAAATACAAATCAATTTCCCTTCCATCATGATAAAACACCTCACCCACTGTCTTGCAAACCATTTGAAAGTAGGATATGCAAATCTGATCATTACTCTCATTGAGAGTTTTGGTATTTCAGTGGAGAACTGTGAACATATCAAACTACAAACCAATCATTTTGTACAACCCAAAACCCTTGAAAGAAGAAACTTGCATGTTGTTGATGGTGTTACCCAATTTCTTCCAAAACAAACTCCTAAGGCTAAGGAAGGAGTTAAGGTTTTGACTGAGGAAGAGGAGTTGGACAATTGGCTGGAAGGAGAGGATAATGAGGGAGAGGAAGAAAAGAAAAAAAAATGAAAGACAAAGAAGAAAGTTCTGAAAAGAAGGGCAGGAAAGGTAGTACTTCTGGTACTGGGAAAAGGAAGAGCATTCGGTTGGCTGTTAAGCCAAAAATGAAAGTTGAGGCTCCAGCTGCTTTCGTGGATCTCAGTGAGGAGAAAGCTTTTGTTCAGGGGGAACAGGGCATGTTTATGCAAGAAATTGTCGCTCGTTCTGCTCCAGTAAGTGCAGGTTCAGGACTTGCTGCCTTTAGTTATGTGAGTTCCACTTTGGAACTGAAGGCACTCAAAGATGTTGTCAAGCTGCTGTCTGATGCTCAACTAGCATTACTCCTGAGGATTGGGGCTCTTGAGAAACTGGTAGGAGACCTGGTGCATGCTTCTAAGGAACTCACCTCAGTAATGAAGGAAAGCACTTCAACTCTCTCTCAAGGCCAGGCTGATTTGTTGAAGAAGCTAGAAGATATTGTTGTTGAAGAAGAATCAGCTGAGGCAAACTCAATTGTTGACAAGCTTCTCCATCCATCTGTATGCCAAGGTATATAAGGTATATAATTTCAATACAGTTCCTCGTCATTGATATATTCTAGTTAAATATTTTTAGTTCTGATTTACTTGATTGTTACTTCTTTATTTTACTGAGTTTGCTTAGGTTTGTCATTCATCAAAAAGGGGGAATATTGTTGACCTTATATGTTTTGATGATGACTCAAGGAACCTAAGAAAACCTATAACAAGTTTAACTTTCGGTTTTAGCTTTGATTTATGACAGGTTTGTGCTAGGAAATTCTTGAGTGAGAAGGGAGCATGGAAGAAGATCAGAGCTAGCTATGGAAGAATAAAGAAATCAATCAAGTCGTGTTCCTTGGAGGGAACTGAAGCTCAAGAGTTGAAGCTTCAAAGGAAAGTTCCTTGAGTGAGGAACTGCAGCTTCAGAGTCGAAGCTTCTCAGAGTATCAAGGAGTCTAATGTATTTTATCTTTACTTTAGGCAACTTGTATTTGTGTTAAGTACAATTGATAGGATTTAAGTGGATTTAATTTTATTTGATAAAGATTTTATTTTCCATATTTTAACTTGTTTCAATTTTATTTTGAAAAGTATCTTTTGAGTTAAAATATCTTGTTAGTTAAAAAGATTTTTTTTTTTTTTAATTCTATCCTATTATTTTGGAAAATCTGATTTGGAAAATATTCTTTATAAATGGTTGTTTTACTTGGTCAAGGAAGTTGAGAGAAAATAGGAAGCAGTAAACCACTTCCTTGTAAAGTGCTCTGCCTAAGCACCCACCCACGAATTACACTTCCTTGTTTTAAGGGAGTTGTGGTTAAGTGGTGATGAAGGAAACTACGATTTAACTGCCAAACTCTTTTATAAATAGCCTTGGTTTTTCAGTTGGAAAAACACACTTGAGCATTACAGTCTTTTAGCTTTTAAAAAGAGTTATAATCCACTTAAGTCCTTGAGTGTATTTGTACTTAGCAATTTAGAGTTTAATCTTTGAGTTGTATTGGGTTAGAGTTTGGGGAAACTCTAAGAGTGTTTGATTGCTTTGAGTGAAGCAAGGAGAAAGAGAGAGTGTTTGAGAGTTCGACTGGTTGAGGGATCAGTTGAAGGGAGCTTAAGTTCATAGAGGAACTTGAGTTTAGAGTCTTAATTTGTAATAGGTTGTTTGCCCTATTATTATTAAGAATTGAGTTTAAAATCTCTTGTGGACGTGGTTTTTCTTCTTGATTAGGGCCAAGAAGTTTTCCACGTAAAATCTCTCTTTGCACTTTTAGTTTTTATTCGAGTTCCTTTATAAATTCCGCGAAAATTACCCTAGTTCCTCTACAATACAATTCCCCCCCCCCCCCCTCTTGTATTGTTCATTCAAGTCAACACATATACCCTTATGTCTTTATCAGGTGCCTTTTATTTTTTTCTAAAGTAGTAAAATTTAGTATTTTTGATTTTTAGGAGGGATTCTAGTTTATCTTCTTAATGAACATAATTTTTTATCAAAGGAAAAAATCGTAATATTCCATGTGAACCCGTTACTTGCCCCAAAACCGCCACTTTAGGCAGCGGCTTGGAGGGGGTAAAACCATTATCTCAAGTAGCGGTTTTGCCGTGAACAACTCAACACCTCTTATAATTATGGCATAGATTTCAGTATTATAATATACTGATGAGGCCAATACTATCCTAAATCACATGAAAATTAATAGAAAGATTTGCAAATTAGCATAAATTTTTGGAATACCTAAAAAAGAATAGTAATTTATTTTGAGTTCAAGTTTTATCCATACTGTCGGTCATCTAAGGCCTCGTTTGGTTGCATTTGACAAATAGAAATACATGAAAAATTATAATTCATGGGAAATTAATTCCTATGTTTTGTTTGGTTATAACCTTATATATTTCTCATACAAGTATATAATAAATTAATAACTACCTTAACTACTTTTTGTATAATGGGGGAATTAAATTCCCATATACTTTCCATGAATTTCTATTTCCACCATTAGTAAAGTGTATCCAAACAAGGCCTAAGATTTTGTCAAGACAAATTGAGTTTTTAGTGAGCGACTTCAGGTTTTGATTCCCTTTTTTCATATATATGGTCATCTCAAGATTTGACAAGGGTAAAAATATTTGTTTGGTACTATACTACTCTTCAACATATTTTGACATGTATTTACGAATGACAAATCTAATCTGGAATCTGATAACATGAAAAAAGATGCCTCATATTTTCCCACAATGTAAAAATTGGAATATAACTGACATTATTCAGAACGCAACTTTGTACTACCCCTTAACTTAATTCATCGATTCAACAGACATCACCGTAGCCATAGGTCACAAAACAAAACCACATTCTTGGTGCAGTATCAGTCATGACACTGTCCTTGAAAGTTACAGGAAATTCCATATGGGAACAAAATCTAGAAGATTACTAGATAGACGATCAATATGACTTCCCACAATGTATTAAGCTTCCACAACCAAGGAAGAGGCCGAATATTGCAGCACTACCAACAGTTGTTTGGCCAATGTGCCTGATCTTTAGTAGTCCTGGAATCTGCATAATTCAATCAATTCTAACTGAGCTTGTGAAACAAGATCAAGAATTCAATAAACAGTAAAAAAAAAAAACTTCAAAGCGAAAAACTTCACAGCAAAATCAATACTCGATATCAGTCTGGCTTAGAAATAAGCAATACTGCAAATTATAGATAACAAGACGAGCCAAAGTCTGATTATGTTTCTTCGTCAATATGAAATATAGGCTATGAATTCTGACATTAAACAAAACCAGGATCCAGACATAATGCTTTCACCAGGGATTTACAAGTAGCAATCGACCATTATAACGTTTGGCCTGTTTCATAATAATCACTATGAATTCTTTACCATTGTAATTAACAACCAAAATCCTAAAAAAAGGCTATCAACTCACTGCAACAAATTTTCAGTTGTCTTGTTTCATAACATAATTGACTAATTTCTTAAGTTAGTAATTAGTTATTTACAGTGGACAATCACACAATTCAATCAGAATTCAACCCTCACAACAAGACCTCATTAGAACTACTCCTATTTGTTCCAAGACATAGACTCAGATTCCCACCAATAATCTCAACTGGACACAAAAAAAAAAATATTAGAACACTCTCTCTCTCTCTCTCTCTCTCTCTCTCTCTCTCTCTCTCTCTCTCTCTCTCTCTATAGATATCAACAACTCCACCTTTATAAATCCACCGAGGTCCAGTTTGGTTTTATGGGAAGTTAAATTGCCAATTTGCCATGGAAGTAAATTGTTAAGATATATGTTGAGGAGTTGAGCAAGCCAGCAAGTTAGGTTTCTGATTAATTTTACTAATGATATACATCGTATCTTGCAATTAAAATCTAATGGACAATTATACCCTCAACAAAAGTTCTCTTCATGAATCTCCAATAATATCACTCCTCAGTCCTCAGGTACAATCTTTTCTTCTTGCTCCTCCCCGGCTTCTTCATTTACACAGCTGACAGCACATTAGCAAAAAAAGAGGAAACTTTTGAACACTACTTGAGCTACACCAGACAAATGTAGTCCAATTCACAAAAAGAGAGGGTAGACAAGCAATCTGTCCACCATCTATTTATCTTTTTATTATTTCATGGGACAATATATATATCCTAGTCAATTGGTTAATAGTTACACAAATAGTGGCTTTATCTCCTTAGTTTGGGATCTATACAGCAAATTGTAATAAGCAAGGTAAATAACACGTGAAGAGTGGCCCCAACCTCCAAAGGTCAGAGACTTCCCGTATGGCAAATTAGATGACTTAAACCAACTTTTTTTTATGTTTAAAAGCTAAATTGCACCGAAACAGATAAACCAAAAGAGTCTAAGTCAGACCATCATTCTTCAATTGCTAACTATTGATGAGTGACATTTATGTCGCTCTTAGGACAGTCTTTTCTAGTAGTTTTAGTAATAATTCGGTCCATTTTAGTATGTTTTTGCTATGATCCGCCTAGTTCGAGTATTCTACCTTTGTGGCGCGTAATGTGTACTCATATGGTTTAGGTAGTCTATGCTCCCCTCCCCTTTCGTTGTATTACGCCTTGATTTCCTGTTCCATGATTGCAGGTGTATGCCGTTGATTCGGAGATGGAAGGAACAAGGGCAAAACAGGAAGAAATCCAGACCAGGCAAATGGCGCGGGCGCGCCACCAGAGGAGCGGGCGCGCCACCTTTAGGCGCGGGCGCGCATCCCTTGAGCGCGGGCGCGTTGATGAGCTGGACCAACCATTAAATACCCACTTTGGAGCGGGCGCGCATTTCTAGGAGCGGCCGCGCCATCATTTAAAGCGCGGGCGCGCCATTGTTAGGCGCGGGCGCGCCTGTCTGCTGCTGATTCAAATCCCGGTTTCAGCCCAAATTAACAAAAGGGGAGGCAAAACGGCTAACTAGGGACAACATTCTATCATAGAGATATTATTTGAGCATAGAAACCTTAGAGGAGAGCTTTTAAGGAATTTTTCTAGGTTTTTTGTTTTAGCCACTTTTGTATTGAACAATCTTGATAGTTTTTAGTGTAATTTTCATTGCCTATCAACATTAGTTTTACTCTTAGTTTTTGAAGAAGTAATTTTGCAACATTGATGTATGGTCAAGCTTGGAGATTGAATGATGTATGGCTCTTTATTTGGATTTCAATGAAGGTTTTGGTACATTTCTCTATTTTCTCTTGTTTTTATGATTAAAGTTTCTACCTTTGTTAGTTTAGTTGATAAAAACTTTGTCTTTCTTACTATTCCATTGGTTATAATGTTGCTTAGTATGATTGTAGTTGTAGTTATGACTAGTGAGTAGTTTCTTGTTGCTAGGGGTTTGGTGAAGATATGCTTTGAATTTGATGTATGCTAGGCTAGGTTAATTTGGAATATTTGTGATTAAATCTTCCTTGTGCTTATACTTATTAGCCACTCCATGTTTATGGTCATATGCATGTTGTGGTTGAATGACGTGAACTAAATCGTGACGATAGTGCGACTTAGGAATAGTCATTAGGTGATTGATTATTGCATGACCTTAGCTTGTATGCCTTACGACGATAGTGTGAGTGTATGCTAGCTAGGAAAGTTCTTGATCCCGATAGGTGATTAGAGAGTATTCTTGATATTGCCTTGTATGAGTTGCTTGGGTTACATGTAAACCTATTTTCCGATGCCTAATTCCGTTGAATTCATAGCATGTTTGATCCTTCCCCCTAGTGCTTGTTTTAAATGTTATTCTATCCCCTTTAGTCATTACTTTACCCACCATACTTCTTGATCGAATTAGATTAACATTAGGAGATAAATAGCGGTGCTTAATCGTTTCCCTGTGTTCGACCCTTAACTTGCCTTTATGCTCTTTTAGTTGCATGTTTAGGACTACAAATATCATTTGATAGAGGTGTCTTAGTAACGACCTAAAACACCGTCTGTCAACTATTTCCTTAAAAGCATACAATCTTATCAATAATCAAAAATAAAAATCAAATACAATGGTTAGAAGGATATGATGTAAAGAAAATTACCATGGATAGTTACGTGCCTAACTTATTAAACAGGTGACAAGACTATGGTGACTAACAATGATAATATAAGTTACACGAAGAGTGGAGAGTTGAAATAAGGTCACAAGTCTAACCACCATATAACAGGTGGCAACAATGAAAAACCCAACCAACCAAACAGGAAACACTCAAGAACTAAGGGCAAATTGATTATACCAATACTAGAGGGGAATCAAGGGCAGTCATAAAATTTCAGAGGAAACTAAACAAAAAATTATCAAGAAGAATGTAACAAAAGAATAAAACAGCCCTTTATCATAAAACAAATCATGAAATCTAGTCAAAGGATGATCCATAGAAAAAAAAATCCAATACTTGACAGTATTTCTTAAGTACAGAGTAATGAAACAACCATAACAAAATTGTATAAAGATCCAAAATTATGTGATTTTGCATGTGCAGTATATTGTTAGCAGAAAGAGAACTTCTATTCAATGAAGCATCCGACTCAAATTAGCCATACTAAGTTTTTATAATATGCAATAGTCCTCTCTCATAACAAAACACGTTAAAGCATAGAGCCAGAAATCAGAATATACCTTGTTTCGGACGGCATCAAATGTTCCATAAACAGCACCTGCACATAATACATTCTACTTAGTGAAAATGATTGAATGACTCCAAATTCATGAATGGATTACAAATACATATAATGCCCTTCAAATCTTTGAGCCCTTCTAAAAAAAATCAGTTACATACCAGCAATGATAATTCTTTGCATTTCAACTAATTTAATGCATGATCCTACAATCCAAGAGTGTGGCAACCAGATGTCATTTTCAGGTATGTTTAGGCCTAAGTTTCTAAACACTATTGATAGCAAACCAATACTAGAAGAATCCTCAACCACCCTAAAATCTGCACAGTTTAGAAGGCGTGCCTTCCTCTTCACCTTCACACAATACAATATCCGTTTCAACATGCTCAGATACCAATAATAACCGAGAAATCAAATAAAGTCATAGAACAATTATTTCTTGCTAGCAACCATCAAAGGTGGTTTCCAAAAGACAATACTTAGGCCAAGAAAAGTCTAATTCACAATTTCACACTGTGCTACAAAACAATTCCAAAAACCTTCATAATCTTAGCGACAATGCACCCATACATCCTTCCTCTAACTAATCCAAAAACTACAGATAAATAAACATCTCAAATAAAAGAAAATTTAAACCCTTTTCAATAAATTAACCCATGTTGCACTAATTGTATTTTTTTTTTTTTCAAACTAAAATTAATTAATTTATAAATACGACATCTAAAATACAAATTGAATTTAACAAATACACATAAAAAACGAACCCATGTTGAAAAAATTGACCAATAAAAATCACCCCAAAATCAGATTTTCTACACTCAAGGTTAATTCATTCATCAATCAACCACCTGATTACATCCAATTAAACTTCAAAAATCAGACATTAAACAGGAAACATAAATTAAACAGAAAAAAAAAATGCAGAGTAAAGCCTAGGGTTTAACGAAGTGGAAGAAAGATAGAGAAGGAAGGCTTACCGACGGCGCCTCCGACAGCACCGCCGACGGCAACACCAGCGCCAACTCTAGCCAAGCAGCTATCTCTCGCCATCTCTTTCTCTCTCCTCTAATTCTATAATCTCTGAAACGTCTTCTCTCTTGTTTACTTTTCACGGGGGTTTTATTTTCGTTTTGCGTTGTTTTGGTTGACAGGATTAGGAGATTTTATTATGCGATTGATTATTAGTTTAACTTTTTTTTTTATTTTTTTGAGGGAATTATTAGTTTATAACGTAGTAGTTTACTTGTTACAAAAGCCAAAAATCATTTCATATTCCTCTTAAACTTTTTTTTTTTTTTTTTGTGAAATTATTATTATTTTTTTTATAAATAAAAAATTAAAAATTACAATATAAAAAAAGAAGTATTTCTACTTTTCAATATTAAGTTTTTTAAATTATTCATGGTTATTTGACCAATTTTTCGAATTCGATTTGTTTTATACTCGAATCTCGGACTCTAATCTGAATTCGATTAATAGATCTGAATTCGATTAATCCGAGTCTAATTCAACTCATATTGTGCTAGAACCGTGCCGATTTCATAAATAAAACGCATGCAATTTAGCTATAGTGTTATGTTGTGATGTTCTTTTGAGAAGAGTAGTGATAGACCACTACCAGGTATGGGCTCGTTGGGACCATACCAGGGGCAAAAATGTAATTTCACATAAAACTTACCCATGTTGTAAAAATACAGTCTCTCTCCTCTTAATAACAGTATATAAATTATGAATAACAGTATAAAAACCAAGAATAATAGTATACAAACCAATAATAACTGTATAGAAATTAATAATAACTGGCACCGATAAAAAACTACCAGTGTCAATTTTGACCGAACTCGGGGATTTTCAGCATAGAACTCACCGTTTTTAATGGCTAGAGCCATAAGTTTGTGTCTCTTGTTTTTGGGTTATTTTTTTGAGTGGTTTCCGGTGATTTTTAATGGAGGTAGTTGCGTGTTTTTGGATTTCGACCAAGGTAGTAGCTGGTGGGGTGGGCTTCTTGTTGTCGGAGGTGAAGGTGTGGTGGTCGGAGGTTTGGCCGACAATGGGAGCTATCCATGGAAGTGGGGAAAAGGGTTTAAGGAAGGAAGAAGATGAAGAGGAAAGGGAAAAAAAAGGAAAAAGAAAAAAAAATTGTGGTATTGGGTAGTATTACCCATACCATGGTAGTGGGTAATACTTACTCCAAAGGCGCAAAGCCCTTTGATTATTTTTATATCTTTTGCAAATTGGTTCAATATAAATGGGCTGACACATGAGTCGACCCGTTGTGCTCGTGCCAACAATAATGTCCACGGTCCACCATTAGCTATTGACCCACTAACATACCTCTTGTATTAGGCCTTGTTCTATTCACCTTAAAAAAATAATATTAAGTAAAAATAATTTCACTTCAGTAAAAATAAGTTCAGTTCAGTAAAATTAATTTCAGTTCAATAAAAATAAGTTCAGTTCAGTAAAATTCAGTTTTCTTAAAGAAGAATTATAATAGGAAATCAGTAAAAATAATTTCAAATCAACAAAAATAATTTCGGTTCAGTAAAATTAATTTAAGTTCAGCAAAAATAATTTCAGTTCAGCAAAATTAAGGTGAAGAGAACAGGGCCCTATGTCGCGCCTTTTTTTTTAACGGTAAGGAGAAGAACCCTAACCGAACCTAAACCTTTACGATTTTTTTTGGTCATGTCGCGCCTATAATAGACTCATTTTATATCATATTATGTTCGTGTCGTATCTAACTAACTTTTATACCGGCCCGATCCATATCCAGCTCTAAGATCAGCCCAAAGGCCCCAAACCCACGCTAAATTGAACTACTACGTATTTACTGCGGAGAATTAAAAGCGGAACTTATAAAACAGGTTTTCTGTTTAGTTGGAGTACCTCTTACAAAAAAAAAATTCGAAGAAATTATACAAAACTATAAAACCCGAAAATCACAAAATAAAAACCCCACCTTTCTCTCTCTCCTCAACTCCGAAAAATTAAACTTCCGTTGCAGAGTATGAAGCTATAAACCATAACTTTCCAATTTCAATGGAAATTCATCGTCTTTCCTAAATTAATTCCTTTAATTTTCGAAAATTATCATCTTCTCCATTGATTTATTCAATTCGACCTTCGAATTTCTGCATCAATGGAGGTCGAGGAATCCTCAATTCCTCCCAATCACAAACTATGCGGATTCCTCACAACAGTTCTATCATCAACCAACCCCCAATCAAAAACCCTAGAATTCGGCAATCATCTCCAATTCTTCTCCCACAAATCTGAATTCGGATTCAAATCAAATTCCGGCGTAATTCTCTCTCCTCTCCCTTATTCCGGCCACCGCATTGATGCGGATGATTCGAATTCGACGCCGGAAACGACGTCGGCGAAGAAGAGGAAGGGAAAATTGAAGAACGCGAAGAGTCCGAAGAAGGTTGGGAGTGTGAATGGGAATGGAATTGTGAGTGTTGTTCATCAATTGAAGACATTGATGAAATGTAATTGCTTGAAAATTGTTGCCAGAATTGTTGGAATTTCGATTCGAGAAGATGAGAAAGATGATGGTTGTGAAATTAGGGTTGCGATTTTAGTTGATGTGTATCTTCCGATTGAATTGGAGTTTGGTTGGCAGTTTCCTAAGTCTGCCACTACTGCTGCTTCCCTCTTTCGCCATTTGAGGTTCGTGTTTATAAACTCGTATATTTATAAATAATGTAGACGGGATTTGATCACGAGTTTCAAGTACTACTGTAATATCCGAAGACTTTAACCAAATAAGCTACTTGTTCATTTTATATATTGATTATTTTTATTAGATAATTAGTTTCTTGATGATTATTGCTGATTAATTTGAAGGGTTATAGGACGCTCATAATTGCTTGATCGAGTGTACTTTCGAGTTTCGTGGTGTTCGTCTGGTGCTTGTATGACACTTACCATGGCTTGGTGATATTGTTTATTTACGTTTTCACTCAATATTGGACTTTGTATTGAAGTGTATTTACGTATTATGTTTATTTACGTTTTCTAAGCTCGGATTTTGTTTTTGTTTTGAGGTATTTCTTCTTAATTGTACCGTGCTTGTTGAGTAATCTTAAATCTGTATGTTTCTTACAATACTCGATGCACAGATTGTTTTACGCTTTTACTTTTTTTTATTGACTGTTATTTTGAGTTTCAAGACCGTACCATGATTGTTGAGTAGCCTTAATTCTGAATGGCTAAGCTATATGAATCTTTTCTTTGACTGGAAAATTGAATAAATTTACATTTTCACTGGCTAGATGATGTAAAATTGTGCTGAATTTCAACATTTTAACTTTTAAGCACCTGTTTTTTTGGGAGGTATACTTAAGTTAGTTATCTTTTTGTAGTTGTGATTGGCGGGAACGGACTTTGATTTTAAAGGATGGATATTGTAATGATGTGGTTGGAGACGATAAGGGTTTATGGAATCTATCTGACTGTCAAATTCTTGGATGTAAGCAGCATTCTGACATTTCTGATTCTTCTAAGAAAAAGGGATTTGAGTTTCATGAGATATTTAAGAGCTTGCCTAGTTTGTCTGGTGACGTGAAAACATATTCTTCAAGAATAATGCCTGAGGATATGGCATCTGCATCTGGAATTTGGGATCTAACTGATGATATTGTGGAAAAGATTATCTCTCTTCTGCGTCCGATAGATATTGTGAGGGTTTCTGCTACATGTCGTCATTTGAGGATCTTGTCTGTATCGATTATGCCATGTATAAAGCTCAAGCTTTTTCCACATCAGCAAGCTGCTGTTGAGTGGATGGTGCAACGTGAGCGGAAAGTTGCTACTTTACGTCATCCTCTGTATTTGGAGTTCTTAACTGAAGATGGTTTTGCGTTTTACATTAATATTGTGTCTGGTGAAATAGTCACGGGATTTGCTCCAACAATAAAGGATTTCCGTGGCGGAATGTTTTGTGATGAACCTGGACTTGGTAAAACTATTACTGCTCTCTCTCTTATTTTGAAGACCCAAGGAACACTGGCTGATCCACCTGAAGGTACTGAAACAATTTGGTGCTCACATAATGGTGATCAGAAATATGGCTACTATGAGTGCAGTACTGGTAGTAGATACACTAATGTAGTTGTTCCATCCTCAGAACAAAAAAGTGCGAGTCAGGGTGATCGAAGAGGCCAGTTTTCTCCTGATGAACTTATTCCAAAGAATCAATTTACTCCAAAGAGGGCTAGTTCTGGTGGGCTGAGTACATCATCCATGGCTCAAACATCATCTGTGCTTTCACCCTCGACACTGACGACTTGCTTTGTTCCCTGCACCAGGAGCTTGAATCGTGTTAAGAGAAATCTTATGCATACATATGAAAAAACTTCCTCTTATCCTGTAGATAATAATACAGGTTCAGGCAAAAGACATAGAACTTCATATCCTTCTCCAATTGCTAGCAAGAGGCGGAGGAAAGTTTCGGAGGATCAGTCTGTGATATCTAATGAAACTTGGATTCAGTGTGATGCTTGTCAGAAATGGCGTAAACTCTCTGATGAAAGTTTAGCTGATTCCACAACTGCATGGTTTTGTAGTTTGAACTCTGACTTTTTGTATCAGAGTTGTGATGCTCCTGAAGAGTCATGGGATTACCAGCAACCTGTTACTTATTTGCCTGGATTTTACGGCAAAGATTCTACTGGAGAATTGCCTCAAAATGTGGCGTTCTTCACTAGTGTGTTGAAGAAGCATTATGCTTTACTCAATTGTCAGACCAAGAAGTCTTTAAAATGGCTTGCTAAACTTCCATATGACAAACTCTTGGAAATGGAAACCGTTGGATTGGCTGATCATGGTCAGCTGAGTTCAAAACATAATAATGTATTCATTAAAATATTTCTAGAATTTGGTCTTGTGAGGAGGGTGGTGCAGGGTGCTTATCGGTGGTTTTACCCCAAAGCCCTAAAAAATTTGGTCTTTGATTTGCCTGCTCTCCGAATTGCTCTTTGTGAGCGGTTAGACTCATTCAGAATGTACTTGTCACGGGCTACACTCATTATCGTTCCATCAAATTTGGTTGATCACTGGAATTCGCAGATTCAGAAGCATGTGAAACCCGGGCAATTGCGAGTATATGCCTGGACAGATCTTAAGGAAAAGAAGCCTTCTGTTCACAACCTTGCATGGGATTATGATGTTGTCATAACAACCTTTAGCCGGCTCAGTGCTGAGTGGAAACCGAGTAAGAGAAGTGTCTTGATGCAAATTCATTGGATGAGGATCATACTGGATGAGGGACACACTCTGGGAAGCATAAACTTGACCAATAAAATGCAAATGGCTGTTTCCCTGTGTGCTTCAAATCGTTGGATATTAACGGGAACTCCTACTCCAAATACTCCCAGTGGTCAGATTTCTCATATTCAATCTATGTTGAAATTTCTTCATGATGAAGTATATGGAGAAAGTTGCAAGAACTGGGAAGCTGGTATCCTGAAGCCTTTTGAGGCACAGATGGAGGAGGGTAAATTGCGTTTATTGCAACTATTGGAAAGGTGTATGATTAGTGCTCGTAAAGCGGACTTACGATGCATCCCTCCTTGTATTAAGAAAACAACTTTTCTTGAATTTACAGAGGAACATGCAAAAACTTATAATGAACTCGTTGTTACAGTTCGGCGAAACATTTTAATGGCAGATTGGAATGATCCTTCTCATGTTCAAAGTTTGCTGAACCCGAAGCATTGGAAATCAAGGACTAAAACTATAAGAAATGTTAGGCTTTCTTGTTGCGTGGCTGGGCATATGAAAGTATCACATGCTGGTCATGATATTCAAGAAACAATGGATATCTTAGTGCAAAATGGTCTTGATCTTCTTTCAGAGGAATATTCTCGTATACGATACAACCTTTCATATGGTGGTAACTGCCAGAGGTAACAGTTTGCTTTTGATCTGTATTGATATTAAAATTTTAAGTTATATTCAGTCTGATATATATTTTAATTGTTTCTCCGTGTAGATGCAATGAATGGTGCCGCCTGCCTATTGTTACACCATGTAGGCATCTTTTATGCCTTGATTGTGTTGGTTTGGATAGTGAAAGATGTGCTTTCCCTGGTTGTGGCTATTTGTATGAGATGGAGAGTCCTGAGATACGAAGTAGACAAGAAAACCCAAATCCAAAATGGCCTGTCCCAAAAGATCTCATTGAGTTACAACCTTCATATAAGCAGGCAAGTATTAAAATATTTAAAGTCTATGATCATTGAAATTTCAAGTGAATCTTGTTTGAAATATCGTCACTTCTCTTTGTATTTCAATTGGATCTTATTAGAAGTCATGCTTCTCTTTGTGCAGGATAGCTGGGATCCAGACTGGGAATCAACTTCTAGTAGTAAAGTCACATACCTTGTTCAGAGGCTTAAAGAAATTCAAGGTGCTAATAGACAAAAGGATAGATCCATGACTGAGGAAAATTATGCAGAAAGACCTTGTGACTTCATTATATCTCAAGGACCGTGTTGCAAACCAAGCATTGGTTCTTCTGAGGCTCCTTCTGAGAAAGTTATTGTATTTTCCCAGTTTCTTGAGCACATAAATGTAATTGAACACCAGGTATAAGTTGTGATATGTGTGCATCTTGTGTAGTTTATGATTTGATGAATAAAGATGATCATTTTACCCTTTTTTCTTTGGTGTCAGCTGGCTATCGCCGATATCAAATTTGTAGGATTGTATAATCCTTTGAATCTCTTTAAAAAGGTAATTAATATTCATCTTTTACTGTTACCTTAGTCCCAAAACATTGTCAAATTGTGCATTTTGTATCCCTTTGAGTCTATTATATTGGGATAAGTAAAGGATGGTGTCCTAAATGTTTTCATATATTTTTTTTTATTTAATTGCAGAAGAAGGCACTCACCAGCTTTCAATATGATCCAAACTGTACGGTGCTTGTGATGGATGGAAGTGCTGCACTTGGTCTAGATTTTAGCTTTGTTACCCATGTGTTTCTAATGGAGCCAATTTGGGATCTAAGGTAAATTTCTTTTTGCGTAAAAAAGGCTGTTTGGTTAAGTCTTCAGAATCAAGCAGTTAGTTTTATACTTTTGTCTGTTACTTGTATTTCTATTAACTTTTACAAGCATCATTGGCTAATGCTCTTCTTTTTTTTTTCAATTATTTTGTTATTGTTATTGTTATGATTATGGTTATTGTTATGGTTATGGTTATTGGTCTTGGTCTTGGTCTTGGTCTTGGTCTTTGTTGTTCTGCCTTATTTTTATTATTTATACTCCGTAGCCTTTTCGGTTTGCTTATCTCAATGTTCAGCTGCTATGTACACATTTGATTTATCTCGTTAGGCTATAATAGGCTTAGTGATACGAGATGGGGGAGGGTGGGAAGAGAAATTGGTAGTGGAAGAAGGGAAGTTGAGAGGGAAATGAACGTAATCTTTAATGTCTTATGGGTTTGGTTGATCTTGAATTTGTCCAATCCATCAGAGGTATTAAAGGATTTCAACATGTTTTACTCATGTCTTGATTGATCTTTTTAATCACTTTGGGCATAGATTTCACTCTTAAGTAGCTTTATAGAGTTAACTTTGTGCATTGATGGCACAGAGTGAAAGTCACAGATTGCCAATGTGCATGTTCATTTTGAAGGAAGAGCCATTTTAACTAGCTATTTGTAGATGTGCTGTTATGGTACTTAGTGAAAGTTGCAGATTGCCAAAGAGTACAGTCAATTTGGAGTGTGCAAAATAGAAAGTAGGCCTATTTTTCTTGAACTGGGGGTGTGATTTTTATTATTTTGTGCATTATCTCAACCGTAAATCTTGTAACTTAAGGAGTAGCTGTTTAGGTAGGTCAAGCTTTACAAAAGTGCCGAACTCCTTACGGGAAATTTTCTTGATTTTTTAATTGAGTAAAGCATAGACCCTGAAATTCTCGATACATGCCCATTTACAGTCAGGATTGTCTTTTATTATTATTATTTTTTTATTGGATATTTGTTATTGTTTATCCCATTTCTTGGTGCAATTAATAGTCTTCATTGCATATTTGTTGCAGTATGGAGGATCAAGTGATTAGTCGCGCTCATCGTATGGGTGCAGTGCGTCCTATTCATGTTGAGACCTTAGTGATGCGTGGTACTATCGAAGAGCAAATGCTGGAGTTCTTGCAGGTCAATACCCTCACCCCTTTCTAGGAAGCACCTTCACTGTTCAATCTAGGTTTCCATTCTCTAAATGGTCATTGTGTTGGCATTAGTTTGATGTTGTTCATACTACCAACATGCAACTTTAATTTGCTTAACTATCTTGCATAAGTAATTAAGTACAGCTTTCTTTCCCTAGAATTTCAATATTACAGATCAGAGTTTGTGTATGTTGTTTGTAGCCTTTGTGCACTTCTTTTTTTTTACCTAGAATTTCCTCCCATAATGCAATAGCCTTTCATAAGCATATATTTTTAAGGGTTGTCCATCATAGATGATACTTCATTGTTCAATGAACTTACCTAATTTGCTTAACTATCTTGCAGAATGCTGATGAGTGTAGAAAATTATTGAAGGAAGACCATGAGAAAACTGAACATGAAGGAGCTCGAGCACACCGATCAGTACATAATTTTGCGGAGAACACTTATTTGGTTCGCCTGAGCATGGTGCGAACAAAGGATTAAATGTAAGTACGTATATCTATTGCCACTATTGGTCTTCTCTTTGTTCCTTCATGCCTTTATCATTGTTATTGGATTTCGTTTTGCTCACATTGTACTTCTCCAAAGCTGAAATCTTAATTGTATGATTGTTATAATCAAAGCTAAAAAAAACACATGAATTAAGAGAGAACTAAATTCTTGATTATGTAGAGAGAGAGAGAGAGAGAGAGGGGGGGGGGGGGGTAAGCCGTAAACGTATACACTAACGTTGTACTCTTCCATTCATGGTAGGTTCTCATGCCCAAGAAGGAGAAAGGAGCTTGGCGATTGTTCCTGATGTAATTGAATTTTTTTCGGATTTTATTTTTAATTTTTGTAGAGTTTTGATTCTTTTCAGAGCATAATGAAATACTCTTTTCACTCTGATAATTTGATTTATCGAATATCGATTTGTCTTGTAAGATTTTGGTAGTTTGAGAATAATTTTGTATATAAGATGGTTCCCTGCCTTATGGCTTTAGGTAGGATGAAATTCTGATATTTTGTAGATAAGATTCCCCTCTGTTATTATATACTTCATCCGTTTTCTTTTAGATGTAACACACACTTTTACACGGTATTTAAGAAATGTGGGTTCCATGATATAATACACTTTAAAATGGGATGAGTGGTTGTTAGGAGTGTAATTTAGTGGGCCATGTGCTTTAAATAAGGGAAATAATATAGTTTTCCCTAAAGTAACTTTCCTTTTACAGTGTGTTGCAAGGATTGTGACATTTCCTTTTTAGGGAAGTGTTGCAAGTAAAAGAAAACAGAGGAAATACTAGTATAGAATCCATGCAATTGCACAACTTCAAAAGTTCAAATACTAAATCTTTCAAAATTTAAAACTATAGTTATTAATTTAATCCACGATAGTAAAAGCCTATATTATTCATTTACTTTAAAGCAATAATGTGTATTCATTTATCACAATATTCAAGGAAAAATTGATAAAAATAATACTTTTAGTCTTTCGTTCAAAATAATCTTAACTTTGAATTATTGTTAAATAATTTGAACCTATTGGATAACTTTGATCAAAATTCTGATTAAATGAGGTATGTAGTTAAAATTTCAAAAAGAAGGTTATCGACTTAACATTATTGTTACAACGCACTTTACATAAAGTGTAAACTTGACACTTTTCTTTTTATATGACTCCTATTACCAATGGTGTGTATGCCTAATGGTGGATAGATGAATTAAAAAACGACAATTCAACTAATAAGTTATGTTGACTTGATTGATTAGTAGATTGTATGAAAATTCTTTGGGTCTTTAACCCTATTGTTTCAAGTTCTCCAAAATTTAAACAAAAACCATGTGTTGTAAAACAGAAAAGGTATTTGTTGTCGACTACTAAGCATATTTTAAGTATGATTTTCTCCGTTTGCTCGTTCAAATTGAATGCACAAGTTCAAGAAATAAATTTTTTTAAAAAAAAATAGAGAGAATTTAAAGAGATGATATAGTCAATTTGTTACAAAGACAACATAAAAAACAACGCTTTTGTGGTGTTGCGTTTTCCGGCAAACTCACATACACCAAAGACACTGACCATGTAACTCATGATTAACTGAGTAATCCTTGATTGATCGAGTAGCCTTAACGATCGAGTAAATCCTGGGTGAGTAACCTTGACTAACCGTGTGACAATGAATCAATTATATATATTGTTTTATCTTATCTAGTTCGGTTTTTTTTTTATTATTATATATATTTCTTTTTTATTATTATTGGCTTAATTAAGTCATAAATCCAAATTAGAGTATCACATGACACCAACAAACATGCTAACATCACAAATAGGGATGTCAACGGGATTGGACGGGCGGGGCGGGGTGGGGCGGATGTTAGCCTTCCCATCCCCATCCCCAACAAACATTTTCATCCTCATTCCCATCCCCACAGCGGGTCCAAAATTCATCTCCATCCCCGCCTCGGCGGGTACAATCCAAAAACCATCCCCACCCACCCCCACTTAGATATACACCCCCATCTAATCCCACCAGAGACCCGCCTAATCCCCATCCAAGACCCACCTAATCTCCTGTCTTCGCCTCTCAAATACACAAATAACACAATCCTACATAATTAATATAAGGCAGTGTTTGGGAATCAATATTTGATTTCAAATTATTCATTTCAATTCTTGGATTTGAAATTCTAGTATTTAATTCCAAATATGGTGTTTGGAAAATTACTGGAATTTTAATTCTAGAATTTCAAATTCATTATATTATTTGGATAGACTTGAATATAAATTTCACAAATCCGTCAAAAAAAAATTACAATTGTAGTTTTAATTGATTTTTTAAACAGTAAAAAAAATCTAAATGATAACAATGCAACTCTGTCGTACTGTTGCCGCCCCTTTCAAGAACTCCAACGACAGTTCAACAATGGTGATCGACAATGCGAACTCAAATGCAATACTGAGAGCTCCAATAGCACTTCAATAATGGCGACAAAGTGTTGTATGATTTTTTTTTTTTATAATTGAAAAAAAAGGAAATCTAATTTCAATTGAACTCCAATAATGGCGCTAAGACAAGCAACAATCTCTTCTTTTTCTTTAATGCATCATCATCGTCTTCTTCGGTGAAATTTAAGTTAAAGGTTCATCTCATCATTGCTTCGTCGGAAAGTGGAAATCCTAGTTTGTTCCGACAACGAAGGTTGAAGCGATCAAGCGATGGAGCTATGAAGGAGATCGTTCATATGGTAGAAGAGAGGGGAGAGAAGTTGAAAGTGAATAGACAGACATCACTTGAAATTGAAATGACATATTTTAAAGATGGATTTCAAATTCTTTGGTGTTGGCTATTTTTGATAAGCATGTGGAATTGATTCAAATTCAATTCCAAATGATTCCAATTAGCTTAATTGGGACAATTCCAAGATTTGAAATGAAGTGACAATTCCCAAACAGTGTAAGGAAATTTTGATTTTTACCACCTCTAAAAAAACGACTTATTGACTTTTACCACCTACATAAAAAAAGTTTTGGGTTTTTCTAAGTTATACCCCCAAGTTTTTCGTTTTCTATGTTGTATCCATACATTTTAAAAGTTATAAGTTGTGTCTTTCACCTCACGATATTTGTCAACAATACCCTTTGACAGCCATATTCGTTAATGAAAGTTAAGTTATTTTATCAACAATGGTGTCATAGCATTATTAATTTGACACGTGTCCCACTGTCTCGTTCTAATTGGTTAACACTTTTAAATTTTTTAAAAAATCAGAAAATAAAATAACAAAAAATGTTTATTGCTAACGTCAAAGGTTATTGTTAATAAAAATTAGTGAGGTTGAGGGCACACTTAGACGTTTGAAAAGGCATGGACACAGCTTAGAAACTGAAAAAGTTTGGGGGCATAACTTAGTAAAACCCAAAAGTTTTATTTTACCACCAACAAAATTTCCAAAAATTAGATTTTACCACCAACTAACGGATTTCGCCCATAAATTCGTTAGTAGGGCCCACCTTTTTGACGTTTCTTCTTCATCTTCCCCGATCTTCTATGTCAACCAACTGGCAATGAAATCAACTTACCTTGGTTGGTCGGAATTTCGTGTGGGGCTAAGGAGGTGCCGGAATTTGGTGTGTGGGCTAGGGAGGTGGTCGGAATTAGGTGGTGGCTAAGGTTTTAGGAGTGCGATATTTGGTGGTGGCTAGGGTTTTAAGAGTGGTCGAAATTAGGAGGGGGCTTTTATGGGTGGTCGGAATTCGGTGGCTAGGGTTTTGAGGTCGAAAATTGGTGGAAAGGGGGTCGAAATTTGGTTGGTGGTGGATGTGCGGTGGCCGTTGTGTGGCGAATAGGTGGTGCGACTGATAGTGGTTTGGTGGTGGGGCTGGTAGCCGGTTCGGTGATGGGGTAGTAGCCGGTTCGATGGTGGGGTCCTGACGGGGGCAACAACCGCCGGTTGATGGTTGGGTTTTTTTAATTATTTTTTGTTTTGTTTTGTTTTGTTTTTTTTATAATTATCTTTTTTTTTTAAAAAAAGTTACCCAATAATTTGGTGAGGCGTGTCAAGGTAGGCCCCACTAACGGATTTATGGACATAATCCGTTACTTGGAGGTGATTGGTGGTAAAAGCCAACTTTTTTTTTATTTTTTTTATATTTTTTTATGTGGTGGTAAAATAAAACTTTTTTTTTTTATGTAGGTGGTCAAATTAAATAAGTCATTTTTTGGAAGTGGTAAAAGTCAAAATTTTCTTAATATAATTACAATTAAAAAAAAAAGACATTCCTAATATTACACATTTTTTTTGTTTATGATATAAGTGTATTACAAAGTATTATAATTAATATTTTATATAATTATTTTATAATATAGTACAAAAGTATATTATTTTGTTTTTAAAGATATGTAGATGAATACGGGTATGAGGTGGGAATGGAGCGGGTACGAAGTGGAGCGGATAGGGTGGGGCGGGGATGGGGCTAGGTTGTTCGCTCCAAATCCGATTCAATCTGAAATATAATTCAGTTTTCAATTGTCCAATCTGATCCGCTCTGAATTTCCCCCAGTCCAATTCGAATTAAACTTCGGTTATTTGGATCAGATCCAAAAATCTGAATTATAATATATTTTTTTTAGCATCTAATACAATTATAAAAATTAAGCTTTAATATAAATACAAGTCTTCAAAATTATGATTAAAATGAATAGCTCAACATCAAGTCATTAATTAAATAAGACAAAGTCTTCCTAATTAATTTTATTTAGTAGTTAGTATTTGAGCTAAACTTCAAAAAACAAAGAAATCCATATTTATACAAGATGGGGGTTTGTTTGGCATCACTGCGGTTTTCTGTTTTTTTTTTTTGTTTTTTTTGTTTTTTTTTTTTTTAAAAATTTTAAATCATATGATATATGTTATATAATGAATCAAAAATTAATCAAACTTATTAAAATCATGATAATTTTGAAAACTGACAAAAGAAAAGTGAAACACACATTTTCCTTGTTTCCTAAAAAATTGAAAACTGAAAACAAAAAAAAATGCCAAACAAGCATTTAATTTTACAACTCGGTTTTTGGTTTGGATATGATCCAATTAGAGTCAATCCGATCCAATCAAAAATCAGAATTTTCAAAAGTTCTCATTCCTATCCAATCCTCTTTAAAGTTTGGATCCAATCCAAATTGATAATTCGATTTGGATAGGATTTCGATTTTAATCCATATTATGGACACCCCTAGATGGGGCAGGTATAACCTAACATCCACCCTCGCCCCATCTCCCATGGCGGGTATGGTTTTCTTCCCCATCCCCGCCTCTACCCGCCCTACTAGGATGCGATAGGGCGGGTCTCCTACTTGACTTGCCCCACTGACATCCCTAATCACAAAAGTCCTTCTTTATATTTGGTAATATGACATATTTTTTTTTCGCAACAACAAACACAAGATAAGAAAATCATTATGTATTTGGTTTAAAAACAGTGAAACTAAGTTTACAAACATTATCATGTGCACAATGGTGTATGATCTCAATCAACCTTGAGTAGA